ACATAAGTGGAAGTGCATACAATACATACATTCATTAAAAAAATAGGGCTCTTCACGTGATGTCCCTTAAATTGAAATATACTACACACATATATGTCAAAAAACATTTATCTTTTACCTTCATGACGCAAGAGCCTTGTATCAAATTTTTAATTGACATTGTTCGGAGTTTCTGGCTACTAGTGCAAATCATGTAGTAAATAAAGGATCCTTGCCTCGCCTGTTTAATGGAGCATGGTCGGCAGCAATGACGAGCGCCAATATTAAAAAAAGGATTTGTGGTTTGTATGACTATCCAGTGGAGCGTTCCCAAATACCCAGTGGAGCGTTCCCAATAGAGCGTTCCCAAATACCCAGTGGAGCGTTCCCAAATACCCAGTGGAGCGTTCCCAAATACCTTGTATGACACACCATCAATCTATGAATCGGATCACGATCATCATACCCCATCGGAAACTCCTGCAACCCTAGTCACAACTGCATCATCGGAAGTTACATCATCAACGATGTCTACTATTCCATCCGAAAATCCGTCACCAATGAGTCAAAAAACGCATGTCCCTGTATCCCTGGAAACAGCTGCGGCTGAGAATCATACTGACAGTGAAGTCAGTATTCCAGATGAGGATATAGTACCCCTGTTACAGGCACTTGTAAAGGACACTAGTGCTGTCCAGGAACAAAGCGAAAAGGAAAATCTTAATCTGTCGGACACTTTGTACAACGACATTGAAAACATGTTTAAAATGCCCACACCTGTGAAAAAAGGTTAACGCAAAAAAGACTGTCACAAGCTATCGGTTACTTACCTGCAACGAAATTATAAAAGAAGAAGATAAACTTCAGGCAAAGAAAATGAGACAACAAAAGCGAAATCTGGAAAAAAGTCAAAGGGGGAGGAGAAACGACCAAGAAACGCCGTTTAAAGAAAGAAACTTTGTGTTGGAGAAGACTTGCTTCATTTGCTTGGGGGAGTACTGTACAGGATGTAATAATGAACTGAACTGGGCAATCTGTACTTAGTGTAAAAAGTGGATGCATCTATGTGCCTAAAGATACAAATTATAAACGCAATATCGCGTCAGGAATACACAGGTTGAACTGATTTTGAAGCGTTTTATAAGGAATGGTGGTCGAAAATACTCTGGTCAGTTGCGGACCAGAGACCTATCTAGGGGGTTTCCAAATTTCCAGGGGGGG